CTGTATAGGTTCCGTCAGCCACAAGTATTACCACACTTGCTCATACTCAGTGCAAATCGAGTGCTTTTTACTGCTTTTATTTTTATTTAATTCGCATCATATATGCCTTATAATATAAAATATTAAATAAAGTAAAATTTGTTAGAGATCTTTAACCCTTTAACCAGGAGGTAGGATCAGTTAACTCGTTACTCGGATTAACAATCTTTTGGATACAATAATTTCTCTATTTATAGATGTCCTGTTTTTAATTATGTTCTCATAATTTCTCTTAAAAATCAATTGTATCGTGTTTACGTTACAAGGCCTAGAAATTGTACTGGCTGTAATTAATTTGTCTGTATTTGCTTTTAGTTTCACGCTTGTTAGATCGCGGATGTTCGTGCGATTTTCTCTTTCTATCGACACAATTAAACAAGTGGATTTCAAATAGAGAATCTTGTCTCCTCCTTCAAATATTATAAAGAGTATTTCGCTTTGGATATTTTCTATATTTTCGCCTGTATTACGTACATTCTGTACGCTGTTGCACATTTAAATTTCTCACAAATGCACGAACATCCACGGTCTAACGATTACAAAAGCTGTCTGATTGTAAATTCTGGTTAAGAAATGAGCAATAACGAGTAACGAGTAGGTGTCCTAATACTTACACAGCCGACCATAAGCGTTAGGACACCCGATGATATTTGAATGTTCTTCGCCTCTTTCGTCTTCTGATTATTTCTAATTATTCGCGAATCTGTTGCTTCGTTCGCGTCATACGTACCTTAGAATGCGAAACACTTGTTAGTAAAGTAAAATTTACTCGAGTTTTTCAATAAATGTCGAACGAGTCTGTGTTCTAATACTTATGGCCTGCAGTGTATAGTCAGCAATGCATGTCCTAGAATAACCCGTCTACGAAAGAGTCGTTTTACAAGTAGAGAAAGCAATACCGTACGACGTTGTCGTCCCGTTCGTCCATCGAACAACGGTAAAATAGAACAGATGGAAGTACTCTTGAACGAGTGAGAAGGGAAACCTTCTTCGAAGAAAAGGTTTTTCTTTCTCGAAGCGTAAGAGAAAACGCGTGTTCCGTTTACTCGCTGGCACAATGGCAGAAAAAGTCGAGGACGATTCGCGGCGAGGAAAAATGCAACGAACGGCGGGAAAAGTGTTTTTCTTGCTATCGCTACTTGCGTCGATTTCTCCTCAAGCATCGACGATTGCTTTTTCCTCCGTTAGTTTTCTTCCTTCCTACGGTTCCGATCGTTTGTCTTCATTTTATCCGACGATCGCTTAATCGATTTTCTCGTGGTTGAACTGTGTCAACATGTGTTTTAAAAAAGCCTTCTATCTTTTTATGTTTTATTTTATGCTTTGACAGACATTGCGCTATACCTAAATAAATATCGTTCGCTGTGAACGGAGAAGTTTCGCGTAGATCGTAAATTTTCTTTTATAATTTTTGCGTGGAATTTTTGTATTGTATTGTATCATTGGTTGCAGGTAAAATGGTATTTCTTCCATCGAATGAAGCAGCTTCTTTTGAAGCTTTAACGGCGTAGATTTACATACGATGTATTATATAAATGTAACACAAAAATAGAAAAAGAGAAACGTTTCGTTATAAAGTTACAGCAGATTGTATCTGCTAAGTAGAGGGAAATATAATTTTTCAATTTCCGTCTTGCGATTGCAAGATATCACGCGCCTTCTAGTTCGTTAAAAAAGATATTGACACGATATGAAATTAAAATTCGACGATGTCGAACTTCTCCGCTCGCGTCAAACAACTTCTAAAACCGTTAAAGCCGTTAAAACGAGTTTCGTTTAAAAATTCTACAAGGTTCTAAAAGCTGAATTTCTTAATAAATGATCTTAGTCTTTCTGGCAGTGATACTTTATGTGCAAATCGCACTTACAATTTCTAACAATCGTTAAATACAGTTTTCCAATAATTTCTAGTATGAATTTATCCTACCGGGCTTCCATATCGAAACCCATTGTACCATTCTCCATTTACATTACATTTTTATCTCATTTCTCATCGAACACATTGACACAATTCGAACAATTTCAACCTCGATATTCCACAAAAAACTGACACGTCAAATTGTCCAAGTAATCGCAATTTTCTCTTCTTCCTTGGCAGTGATTAATATCTTACGTGCACGAAGCTGCACAACCTCATCGCCGAGGTAACAGTAGAGACTTAACATGAAAATGTCTCTTTTGAAGCCGACGAACGGTGGCAACGATAAACGAAGCCTCAGGAAAGAAGAAAACCGAACTTCGGTAGCGCAAAAAACGAGCGAGTCGTTCGACGAACGACGACGGCGAACGACTTTCGAACGTGGTGTTCTTCTCTCTTTTCCTAACCGGTGTGCGCTCTTCTTATTCTCTTCTCTCGCCTGCACTCTCTCTTTCTCTCCGGCTTTCTCGTCGACTTTTCCTTCCACATTCTCTCCCTCCCTTTCACTCTTCCATTGCGTCCCTCTTTCTTTGTTTAGAAATCGTTCAAGTAGAAAAAAGAAAGCGTTACGAACGAATAAAAAATCGTTAGAGACATTGACACAGCCAAATCTTTGTTTAAACGTCTCTGTCACTTCGTGTTGTTTGTTCCGATACAGCGTACCTAATCTCAACTCTGGACCGATTCCCCTTAAATCCTACTTTTATTGGGAAGCAACTCGTTCTCCTCGTCCTAACGTCTCTTCACCCACCCTCTCTTCGTTCCACACCGAACCAACTTTGAACACTTGGTGGATATTGCGTTGTGCGTGCACCGGACGAATCCCGTCGCGCGGCCTTGAAAGTCGAGGATCGTTCGGTCGGCACCTGTTCCCCTCTTCGTTTCGATTTCTTCCCACTGGTTCACCTGTATTTGAGCCGTTTACAGGCCAAAGTGGTTACCTCCACTTTTCCATATTTCTGAAATGTTAGCGTCGAAGCACTTGATCGACGTTTATCTTATATAACTTGATCAACACACGTTCAATGCGAGGTCGACACATACGTCGAGGAAGAGGAAGTTATACGGTGACGACGTCGGTATACGTATCGACGTCATTCTTCTTTATTTCTTTTTCTATTTTTAAACGACTTAATGCGTGTTCATCTTTTTTCTCTAGGAGCAAGTAAAACGAATTGTTTTCGTCACAGAAGATAGGACTCGTAGAGATCCTCCCGTATGGAACGTGTTAATTTTCCTCGTTTTACGTCTCGCGCAGTTAACTGATTTAAAAGTGGCAAATAAGCGGCTCATTTAACCCTAACGTAGGCAACCAGCTATCCATTTCTATATTTCTCTTACCAATTTTCACTTCCTAACGAAGATATTCTTCCGGGACGATTATAACAAGGATCTCCTCCCTTTGAATATTTCTAAAATTTATGTAAAACTTTTAAATATCCAAGCTTCAAACTCTATACATTTATTAGATAACCATGGAGTTTTGGCTGCCTACGCGAGGGGTATTTTCTTTCTCGTTGCTTTTCATATAGTATAATTTTGTATCATATATCCTTTTTATATATATTTTTCGAAAAATTGGCTTCTGAAGAGAACCGAAAGGGGATTAACGGTAGCCTGACCGAACGAGGATATGCAATAGAGATCGTGGACGCGCGATGGTTCCCCAAAATTCGTTCTAATTCGTCCTAATTTTGTTTGTTAACATCGCGGGAAAGCTGCGGACGATTACGTGGACCGGTCCACGGTATAAATATCCGGCGAGTCGTCCGGTTCGTCGCACAGAATCGAAACGTAACTCGTTTTGGCTGACTAAAAGACACACAGCGTTCCTCTTGATCGATCCTGACCGATCCACGTCAGCCAACCTAATCTATTTAATTACTTACTAATAACAAACACTGGCTCTCCGTGACTTCTGTACGTATATGTATGTCTAGTGCATACATGTATATGCATGTGTGTGTATACATAAGCTTATTTGAAGGTTTTGTACGGTGAGCTGTACGGTTTCTCACTCTTGCGGGGAGGAAAAAGAAAAGGATAATTGATCTCGTCTGATCGCGTTTTTCCTCCCTGTGTGCTATGTAGTTAAAATTCTTTTTTTCCTATTCGAATATGCTCGAACTTTTGCAAGTAACGCAACTGGATCGTTTGGTAAAAAAGTCTCTGAATAGAAACATACTTGGTTCGCTTAGTATTCACCCGTGTGTGTTATGATATTCTTACTCATCGTATCGTTTGCCGTTTTTTTCCCCCGTTCGATCTGTCGGTGCAAGAATGTACAAGAATGAATAAAAAAAGAAAGGGAAAATAAAAACGTCGCGTGCCTCCTCGTTCAGTCCGCGGTTTTTACATATACATAATGATAATAATAATTAGAATAATAATAAAAAATAATATTAATTATTAAAATTGTTATAATAAAAATAATATTAATAATAATAATGATAAGAATAATTATTATAATATATATAGGATTTTTCTAAATATATATATATATATATGTGTATATATATATATATGTTTCTATATACACAAGGTAGACCTAATGAATTTATTATACCGCGCGTTAAATGTTTCATTTAGATCCCCATAACGTGTCGAGCTCCTCGAGAAACATCACATAGATTACGTCAGAGACCAACAAACGTTCTAAGATCGACTTAGAGACCCGAATCTCCCATAGACAGCCTAACCATTTTACGAACCTTCTTCTTATTAAATCGTACATATTTTCATACGTCGGGTATTTCCTTTGCTTTTCCTCCAATTATTTTATATGTCGTTACCCGATGTTTAACACGCGCGACAAGTGCAAACAATTAACTGTTATAAACCTCTCCCCGCTCTCCCTTCTCCATTTCTATTCGAATTGTTCCATTCACAAACTCTTTCCAAAATTCTTTTTCCCCATTCTCGCTCTTTGCACACGTGTTTCTCTCTCTCTCTCTCTCTCTCCCTCTCACTCTATTCTCGTTTCATCGCTTTCCTCTTTCTACAAACCGATCAAAATTGGCAGCCTATATATATATACATATACATATATATATATATATACATATGTATATATATGTATATATGTATATGAACGGTCGTTTTTCGCTCGATATATCCCTTAACGCAACTTACAGCGTCCGATAATAAAAAGTACTAAGTGGTAGAGATGTAGCTTTATCATAATCCATAGAATTAGCAGCAGCTTGTCCATCTTATCAGCTAGGTAGGGGTGAATATCGTCTTAGCAGCGATAGATTGTTCAGCGGTAATAAAAATGTAGAAAGTAAAACGTGGATAGTCGCTAAGAACGATTTAAAAAGTTCCTCTCCGTTTTCTTATCTTCCTCTTTTTTTCTTCTTCTTCTCCTCCTTTTTCTCCATTTACACGTCTCTTAAACCTAAGCGTTTCTTTTTTCTTCGTGTAGGGTGATTCTCGACGTGGCGTGAAGTTTCATTATCTCCGCGAGTTTCCGCTTTGCCTATTTCTTCTCATCTCCCTCTCCTATGAGCTTAAGAAATATGCTTCGTCGTACAAATGTCATGTGTGTGTGTGTGTGTTTGTTTGTTTGTTTGTTTTGTGATTCCTTTCTTTCAGTCGGTACCGCGACGCCACGACGTCGCATCGATTCTTTCAAAAGATATTAAAGAAAGAAAGAAAAAAAAGAAAGAAAAAAAGAAAAAGTAAAAAGAAATGGCTCTCACACTTTCTCACTCACGCTCGTTCTCGTTCACTCTTACATACTTTCGCATTTTTATACGTAAACACACAGATACAGACATTCTTTCCTCTATCATTATACCCTTGTTTCCGCAAGAAATTAAAACAGAAGAGTTTCCTCCGCATTCTTTCTCGTGTTCATCCACCCTCTCTTGTATTCCTCTTACTTCACGTGATAGCGTGATATATGTATGTATATCTATCTATCTATTATATATATATATATATATATGTATATATATATAAAGTCTCTACGTGTACAATCTTATGTATAGTCTTCGCCAAGTCTCTTGATCACGCGTTTTCGCGCGTTCTATCTCATCGCCCGCCGCTAGCGGGAACGAGCGGAAACCCCCTATATTTCTCCGCTCTCTATCAACCCCTATTATCTTGGTTTCTTTTTTTTTTTCTTTTCTTTGTTAACCCCTCGTTTCGCTTAGGTCGCTGGTTTTCCCTGTCTGTCTGAGGTATTCTATTCTGCGAGATGCGTGTACAATTAATAAAAATAGTAGCTAATCGCTCGGTAATTAAAATAGCGGTATCAATAGATTGGTAGGCGGCGTTGAAAAGAGAAAAATCCCAGAAAAATCGGCAAGCTATTCCGCTTTCTAGAAAGTTTCTTCAACTAATTGTCTCCCCTCGAGTCTCTCCCCTTTGAAGATTCATTCTACTCCTCAAAATATAATACACGGAACAGGTGTACGACACAACGTTTCTGCCAGAGGAAAAAAATCTAAAAATTCCTCTTTCCGATCGCGTTCTCCCCGCTGCAATCTCAACCGTCCTACTATGCAGTTCGACTCGATCTCTTTTATTCGATTCAGCTTCTTTCGAACCGCTTGATTCGTTCGATTCGACGAACCTAATTCTGTAGGAAAATGATTACGAGGGTGTAAAACGTACCCGTGCCAGTTCGAGGATTATCTTTTCACCACCACCTCCAAGCCCTGCGCCGTCTCGAGACGACCAGTGGCATCCTGGAAAAATAAACTTTCGCGCGCGGTTTCTGTTCGGGTTGTTCCGTTCGGTTTCGCGAGCTACTTTGTCGCTGCCCGTGGGCGAAACGAAGGGTCAAAGGGAAGCTCGACGACGATGTTGACGACGACGACGATGATGACGTTCCCGTTAGCGTAGCGAGGCCGTCCCGACGTCCGTCGATCGCGGCCATGATCCAACATTTCGTGGATAAGGCGGCAGTAGAAAGGCGGTTCTTCTCATCGTACGCCGTTTCACTTGGGCACGCGATAGTAGCGCAACACCAGGTAGCCCAGGGTGCGGAATATCACTAGGAACGCCAGGAGGACGGCCGTGTTCGCCCATAGTGGAAGACCGGAACCCCTGGCGCCGCCCTGGCTTTCTAGAATCGCAGACACCGGTATAGTCGTCGAGTTCCTGCACTCTTGGAACTTGCTCGGCTGCGAGCATCTGCAAATCAAAGGATGGATCGTGGTCGATTAGTTTGGTCTCGTTTTTGGTTTGATTTAGGCATTTTTTTTTTTTTTTGGAAATTGTGGATTGGCTTCTTTTCTATTTCTTTTGAGTTTTCTTTCTTTTCTCTCTTTTTTTTTTTTTCATTGAGTGTTCAATATTACACGCGCCTTTCAAGGTTACCGTGACCACGATGAGAACGATCAGTAGCACAGAGCCTACCTATAATAGGTCGTATAAACGAATATCTTTCAGAAAATCTAGAGCTTTTGTGCCGGAGTCTTGCTTTTGTAGCATGTTGAGCGTATTATGTACGTAGTTGAGTCATGCTGTGGATCAGTTTGTGCGTTTATACGTGGGACATTGAAACGTGAAAAATTGTGTCGAATATATATAATTTGGAAAAATACACAGAGTATGTAAAATAAGGTACTCGTTGCAATATTTAATTTTTATTTTATTACATTTATGGGTGTAAAACTATGTAGAACGAATATAATGTACAGAGATATATAAAATAGCCAGAGTACTGAAACTATAATAGATAAGATGATCTTTTATTTAATATTCTATTCTATCTCTTTAGTCGTGTTCATAAAAATAAAATAAATTTGCATGAAGTTATAATATTAATTTTTTATTTAATATCTCTCTTCGATGTAAATTACTCATCTTCACAATTTCATTTTCCCTCCCCTCAATCTCATCTTGATACTGGAATTTTGTAAACATCGAAGAGAACAATTTGGATTTGATTAATGCGTTGCCACGCATCGTTGAACCAAATATGACATCGATTCCAAGAATCTAGCGTTCACCATAGCGTGAGCTCTAAAGCGGTTAGACGTGATCGTTGAATGATGCATCGTATCGCGTCGCAGTAGAGCTTCATTTATCATTTATACGCGATGTTCCTCTAAATTCGTGAGTGACAGAATCTAAACGGACGAATTTTAAAAATCAATTGTCCCACAAACGAACCTTCAAACGCAAAAAAGATATTCTTTCGTCGATTCCACTTGTTTAAAAAAATAATACAAATCGCGTATATCCGTAAATTACAGTTTCATCCGAAAGAACAAAAATTTGCTCCATAATTTGTACGCGTTTATTCGAGAAGAATCGGCTCGTGTAAATTCGTAAATTGCAGAATTTAACTGAACGAATTTTTGAAATCGAGCATCCTATAAATAGAGCCTCAGTCAACAGAAGAAACATATTCTATAATTTCTATTTATTTTTCCAAGGAGGATCAGCTTGTGTAGACAATGAACTTACGAATTTTTAAAGTCAATTATCTTAAACATAGCTTCACACGAAAGAAAAGATCCATAATTTTTACTTATTTTCTCAAGAAAAATCTTGTAAATTCGTATTCATTGACTATGTCGTACTCTTCATAGGCTTTGAAATTGTTACTTACGTGATCGGCTCACCGACGCCGAATTCCAGAATCTGCATGTTTTGATAGGCATAGTGCACCATGCTCGCGTATCTGGCCCATGCCAGCCATGGCGGAACCGCCGTCGCCAAATAACCGCCAAGCAATTGTGTGGCGAGCGTGTAAAGCGCGGACGCAGTTATACTAACTTGGAGGTCCAGACAACATGCACCAACGAAGAATCCCACGCTCTGAAATCAGAAAACACAGTGGCGTTTCGAATTATTAAAATATAATTCGTAATAGTAACTATAATAAACAAACCATCTATGGCGAATATTCTTTCAGAAAGACACGATTAGCCGGAAAAATCTAAAAACACACTGTACCAATCTATGAAATCTTTCGTAGCTTAAAAGCATGATTTTGACGCAACTTTGCAACTCGATGAAGTGGAAGGTCAGGTTTGTAGGAATTGTACAAAGAATTCGATGAACTTGCCTTTGGCAAACTAGAGAATGTAACTTTGGACGAAAGTGAAACATGAGATTTCTATGCGGAGATCTAAAAATGTACTTTTAAAATCGAACTAGAGAAGACTAGATTTACAATTAAGAACGTAACAAAGCAGAACGACGCTCCTGGATTGTGTGTCACATATTTCAATAAATGCAGAAATTATTTTCTTTTATTTTCTCTTTTTATCTTTCAATTCTGAGACGTCCTCGGTTACTCATTTTAATTTCTTCCTGATCACTTTCTAACATTAAAGTAGAAATTTCTAGAAAATTTGCAAACTTCATTAAATACGTTATATCATTAATTTGATTAAATATGTAGATATCTTGCAACAAGAATTTTATTACAAACGCGAAAATCTCTATACAAAATCTTAGAATAATAAATCAATGACAGTTTAATCGATGAGTGAAGGAAGGCGATAAACTGTCGTTTAAGCGATGGTCGATTAGCAATTGAACTTATAGAAATCGAGTTGATCGCGACATTACACACCGGCATGTTGTGAAACGCGCGAGTTACTCATTTCCGTCAATAGGTAGGTGGTTTTGAAAGTAAATCGCGGCCGCCTTTCATGCTACGATGACTTAGTACGTTGACCGTAGGTGGACAGTGTCGAGGGCTGGTCGTACGAAGGGAGAGGAAGAGGAGAGGCGGAAAAAAAGGAAACCGCGAAATTCTTGCTGTTTATGTTTCTTGTGACTAAAGAAATTTGCCATGATTGCGACAGCATGCTGTCGTTACTCGCACTGTGGTTCTGTCATTGATGCTGCGTCCATTATTTAACGTTACCACGTTCTTCAAATCATTTTCCAATTTTATTATCTATTTTTCATTGAGCGAATCTTTAAATTTCAGAAAAATATTTAAACTTAATCGTTTTCGCGCGATTTTTTTCTTTTATTTCTGTGCTAAATTTTTTGCTGAAAGTTAAACGTTTCTTTTTTCGTTTATCGAAAAAGGCACAAGTATCTGAAGATTGAAGTAGAATTGAAAGATTGACGTCTGCAATGTGAAATTTCGTATCTGTATGAGAATTGAAATTTCGTTTCTTTACGAGAAATAAAATTTCGGGTCGACTTCAATTTTTCTTCTTCGGTTTATGGTGTGCGATTACGGGTTCGTGATTTAATCGTTCGCATAATTTGGAAGATAAAATTATTCCATGATATCGATAAATGAAAATAAAATAAGTGAGAATGAAAGAAATAAACGAACATTATTAGTCGATAATAGCGTTAATAATAAAAGTGTAAAAATGGAGAAGAAGGTTTGAAATTCGATTTTTAGCTATTAATTTACATTTGAACGACACAGTTGTACGTATAGTATCTTCTTTGCAAATTTCTAGTACGCTGCCATTAAATATTCACAAATTATCTCAACATGCATACAACTCGCTTCTGCCCCATTTTCAAGTAAACCAATGTAATCAATTCCATTGAAACGCGTATACAAACATTCGTGTTTCAATTTCATTGTTTCAATCCTATTGAATCAACCTCGTTTCTCTTGAATGAAAAAATAAACCATGTAAATTCGCTTGTAGATACACGATCAACGCGAACCAAACGCTATTACGTTAAACTTCAAATAAAAAGACGTAGATATCCTTGGATCGTATCTTGCTAATCGAGATTTAATGTTTCTCGAATGTCTCACTGATTTTGTACGGGTAAGCTTCTGACTAATAGAAAATATACGAGAAAATTGTTTGTTTCGCCAATCTTACGAATAGACTAAGCATTTTTATTCAAATTCATACTCTTGAGAATATAATTAAAAAATGGAACACCTGATAAAAAATTGCTTTCCTACCAAGTATTATATAAACTACTATACTTTTGCATATTTCGTATATTTTGTACAAGAGATTTCCAAAGGTGCCATTTAGATCCTATTTAACTTTATTAATGACACAGTTAGGGTAATCCCCAGCATAGCTGGTGTTTGCCATTCGCCGACGATCTTGAAATCTTTAAAAACACTTTGCCAATGATTGTATCCTATAGCAAATCGATCGCCACTTTTTCATGCAAAATCAACGGAGTGTGGCTAAATTTTACTAAATTCCATTTAACAAGGTCATCTCGACGACAATGCGCGATTGTGTAAGAGTATAAACTCGACAACGTGGCTCTGTCTCAAGTATCAGAGATTCGTGAGTTAAGCGTCCGCTATTCATCGCTTAAAAAGAAAATATTAATATTAGGATTTATAAAGCGCTGTGCTTGAAATTTCAGTCCTCCCCTCGCTATCAAGCTGTTACATTGCTCGCTTGTTAGACCGTGGTTGGGGTATGCATCGGCAATTTGGTCGCCAAATCAAGCTAAACACGTACGATTAATAGAGAGGATACAGCATAACTCGCTAAGATACGTGACCTTTAAGTCGGGTCATGGAATGGCTTTTGCGGATCATAATTACAATCAGATCATGAGTCAGCTTAGCCTTGAACCGCTTGAACCCCCAAGGACTTTAGCGGATCTGCTTTTCCTATTCAAGCCGGTTAACGGTATTATCACGACTTGTTGGCCACGGCTTCTTCAGTTGATTCATTTTTACGCTCTTATGAGACCATTTAGATCTTCGGCAACTTTTTCTCACGCATCGCTGTACATCTGGTCTTTTCTAATTTTTGATCCGCTAAACCGCACATACGTACTGCTGCGAATATGTACTGCTTTGCAAAATTTTCCTATGCGACGTTAATTCCTTTAGAAATTCTGTTGCCAATCATCTGCAAGTCTTTAGGATACAGCTCCTTTGCCTGCGGTTCTTGCAGTTTACACTCACTGCAATACTTATGTACACTAACGAGACTTGTCTCAGTTTATTCAATAAATATATAGAATTAGTAGAGTTCTCTATTTCCGCCTAGACTGCCATTCAAGCTACAAGATGTAAGGATAGTCATAAAATGCACGCTGAATCAGAACCAGACGACACAAGCTTCCTCGTAAACAAAAACACATACGTAATAAATAAATCATCAAAATAATCATAGTTCGACTCTGTTAGCTATACGTACAATAAGTACTGAACTCGTTAATACGTACAATCCTTATAATCCAAATTAATATCTATCTATGTAAATCTGTATCTCAAATTGCTCATATCATCCTGTATCTTCTTTCTAATATATATACAGGGTGATTGGTAACTGGTGGTACAAGCGGAAAGGGGGTGATTTTACGCGAAAAAGAAGTCAAAAATATAGAATAAAAATTTTTTTTTTTTAATTTTTCCATCGAGACAACGATCTACAGTGAGATCCGTTATAACGAGACGCGATAAGGTGCACGCGTACCGAGCGAAGATTCAAAGTCGATTTTCTCGAAAACAAAGCCTCGAACGAACAATTTTTATTCTATATTTTCGACTTCTTTTTTCGCGTAGAATTGTCCCCTTTCCGCTTGTACCACCAGTTACCCACCACCCTGTATATATATTAGAAAGAAGATACAGGATGATACGAGCAACTCCCAACCACCCTGTATATATATATTATAAATATTTGTTCATATTACGCGCGTTCTGTGTAATTTTCCACTTTGGAATTTCCTACAAACGCGACAAAGTCCGCAGTCCGCTTATGAGTAAACTTTCCGACTGAGAGAAAATGAGCGAAAAAGATGAAAAAGGATCCTACCTGCGCGACGACGGTGTTGAGTAAGAGGAACGCCAGCAGGGTGACGAAAACTGCCGGATTGTGGAAGCCCAACATCGGGTAACTAATGATATGGTAGACCGCGGGCAACGTAATCGTAAGCGGCAGCTCGCCGACCATCTTCGCCAAGTAATAGGCCGAGAGCCGATACGATCCTGACAGTCGCTCCTTGTTGATCACCTCGCGTTCTGGAGGAACTGAAACAGAATTTCATTCGCCATTTATTCACGTGTATACAATGTATGTGTTTACAGTGTCACGTGTGTACAGTGTCTGTATACAGTGTTTCGATAATCACGATACAAATTGTCACACATTGCGTGCTTCGTTCTGGATAGAACAGAATTTGGAAATTTGTTTGGCGCACGCCAACTCGGTTAATTCCGTACCGGGTATGAACGAACAATTAGCAGGAGATTGTCCTGCATGCGAGAGTAAGTGAAAAACGTGGAATAAAATTGTTCCAATTGGGGCCCTGTTTTCGAGAGTATAGGGTTTCAACATGTTCAATCAAGAATCAGTCCGATATGTGCAGACCTACCTAAACAAAGTTTCAAATTTAATTTCCTCGCGAACGAAACGTTCCATGAAGAAGCTTTGCTCGGGAAATTTACTAACAAATGTTTACTGTACGGTTTCCACGTATTTGGAATGAGAATTTATTTGAAGTGGGAAAGTATTCCTATATCAATCCCATGTGGAATACGTCGTAAGGAGTTATAGAATCGTTTGTTTTAGTTGTAAGAACCCTTACAAGAGAGAAGTATAATCGTAATTTAACTAATTCGGTATACTATTATTATTTCTTTATTTTCCTTTTAAATCTGTAAAGACCATAAACGCTACAGCTCCAAGTTCAAGTTCCCGCAATTAGCAGAATCCTAACAACTCACAAACAACGTTTTATACGATTGAAACATAGCAGAGAATTCCTTTTCAGAGTAACAAACCGTTAACAACAGATATACAACGTGGCGACGGAATCCAAACGAGAAATTCTCGTGAACAAAGGATAGTAAATGATAAAATGGAAAAGTTAGTAGTTTCGTGATTATTTTAGGAGGCGCACAACTTAATCATAGAGCCAGCAGCGATGTCTAGTCGCACGAGTTTGCCATTTTACAGTCGTCGTCCCTCATCCTCGAGTAGAAAGTGAAATGGCTACAAGCAGACGATGAAAGCAAACTCGAAAAAGGGATGCTGGCTCGCAGCGAGCTGTAAAACCGATTTTAGCATCCTCTTTGATTCCCTCTCCATTCGAACCTCTTCCATCTCTTGGCTATTCAGCTTCCTTTCTCGTTTCTTACTCTTTTCTACGCCTCTTGTGCTTTAGTATGTATACCCTTACTATAATCACGAGCTTCTGGCTGCAAAGTCGAAATTCTGTGCCTTCAACTTACTTGGTCTTTGCCTTTTGGTGCAAAATTTTGGCATTCCTGAAGAAACGAGTTTCTTTGACGATGGATTGGCCTCTTTCTTTTCGTTAAATATAAAGTAGAAAGAGCGGCTTCTACGATATTCTTTCATTTGAAGAAAATCTCTTGCAAGTTTGGTCCTTTTGGTGGATATCTTGGACTATTTATGTAGAATTTAGTATTTGTCATGTTTCCTTTCTTTCTAAGCTTTTACGAGGATAGCATAGTTTTTCGTATGTTTTTTCATTGTACTTTATAACTTAACTCTCTTAGAATCGTTTTTTCTTTCTGAGAAAAATTATTTTCTATTGACCACTACAATAGAAATACATTTCTCTTCTTTTGGTGGTTTTAATATTTATTTTTTGGTTAAACGATAACTTATTAAATAAGTATCTTAGTCATTCACGTCGTACTAGCTATACAAATTTCTGTGGAAGCTCTGACACCAAAAGTACCAAAGTTTCTCTGCAGTCTTTTTAGTTTTGCACTCTGCACATTCGAAACGACCATTGAACATTGGTCTCTCCTCGCCATGAACACGAGAAAACACTCGACTTCCCTCCAGATCAGATAGATACCAATGCGGACGACAATATTCAACGATAAAAGAACTTTAGTAAACTTGCCTTCGGACAATTTTGACTTAACCACGTTTTCTAGTATTGTTCAGCGATATCTGTCCAATATTTTCTACTTCCATTTACTGTAGATTTTCCAACGTAGAAGGGTCACGTCGCTTTTGCGAATCCTCAACTGCGATGGAACTTTTTGGCAGAAAAATAAAAATGTGCAACGAATCGAATAAATTGAAGGACTGATAATAACAATGATCCTGGTCAATCCTTGTCTCTTTGTAGAGCAATGAAAAGTACTTCGGTATAATATATATTAGTATTTATATATATTGTCTGAACCTCTGTTCACCAGATACAAATTTGTCTGAAAAGAATATCCATTCTACATGTCCCATTTGAAATTTTACATGCAATTATCTCCCTATTGTTATTCAATATTATCGTTGTCAATATATCTGTTATCATTATTGTTGGTACTGTTGTTATCATTATAGTTTTGCACTATTTGTTATTAAAAAAATATTTCAAACAGAACTTACATTATTTCGACTATAATAATAAATGACCTCGAACAACTTTGGAAGACCATCATATTATAGGTTGATAAATTTGTTACACGACTACCTAAGTGAAAACATATAGTTCCATTGAAAAAGAAAGAGCAAGGGTCGTCTTAAAATATCAGAGGCCCATCTAGACAAGATTCGTAACCATTACGAGATATTCCCCTCGGAATAAGACAAATTCTGCTTGAAAAATATGTTTCAATCGCATACTTGAAACGGGACATCGGTATAAATTCGCTTCTACAGAATATTTCATTCTTACAACAGATAAATGTTAATGATCTACGCAAAAGTCAGAATAAAAGTTAAAGTGTTCTAAGATTAAGTGACTCATCCCAAAGTTTTGTGATAACGATTAGCCGGCAATTAGCTAACGATAAGGATGAAGTGTTCCAACAGCTGATTATTTAACCCTCATCCGTCCCTCCTGTCAAGTTTGACACACTTTTCCCGCCAAAGATTATAATATTCGGCCATTTATAGAACAATTTGTCCGGAACCTTTTCAATCTAATTCTCTTTCTATATTCTTTGCGACGAATAGGCGAAGGAATCCCGATAAAATAATCTTCAAAATTAATTAATTACCTCTCCGTTTCACGCACTTTTTCATCATTGTGTTGAATCGACACTCGCGTAAAGAGGGACTCGCGTAAAGACGCGATTTCGAGGGACGGTTGAGGGTTAAGGAATTGAAAGCTTCAACAAAGACAGAGAGTTTCGTTACGACCATCACGGTTTCTTCTAGTAGAAAATTTCTATGCCGTTTCAAAGACAGGCTGACCGTCTGAAATTCGTCACGGCCGTTTCGAGCTTTGGTACCGGGTACGACAAAAGGGTCTCAATTGCCGTGCCGGATGATAAGTGGGTCACGGCACGACCTACATACTAACGTCTTGATTGACCGTTCCTCTGGTCCTTTGCAATTCTTTGCAATAAAAAAAAACGTGCGTTCGACTGAATGGCCGATTCAGAGCGTCACGTCGTCGCCGCTCAATTAACCAATCTACCTCATATCTGAGACTCTCCGCGTTGTTGCGCAACTGCCTCCACTTGTCCATCACCACCTGAGAACTTTCCATCGTCGAGCTTCGATCGTCGTGTTACTTCTCCTTCCTTTCGTAAATGTTCAGGAACGTTTTTCGACTAGTTGATTGGATGGCAGGAAATTTCCAAGAGAAAACTCTTGGGGATAGGCAAGGGAGAAATTAAGGAGTTGTTGACAGACTTGGGTCGAAACTTCTGCAAGTATTTGTAGAGAAGTTCGAGTTGGTTAGTAGGTTCTAACGTGTAGTGAAAATTAAAGAGTTCGTAAGACGTGGTAGAATTAGTTGATAAGCTGTAGTACTTGCTTTTTTGTCTGCCAGCAATTAGAAAATTCAATTCAACGCTCGAGTGTTCTTTCTCTGCAAATTTTTCTCCTATTACTTATCTGAAGCTTGTACTTCAAATAGCTTGGATTTTTCCAATTAATTTATCGCCAGTTTGCTTATTTATACATTGTAAGAACGTTGGTATCTGTTGGCCAGAAACTCGAAGAAATTAGGAGTTTTTGCTGCTTGAAAAATCTGTAGGAATTATACATGCACAGACTGTGTAGATAAACAAATAAGGTGAGAATGAGTAAACGTACGAACAAACTGAGGATACAAGTAAACAAATCGAAGATACAAAGGACAATGAGAATATAAACAACAAATCAGAATGTCGTATATTGGAAATTTACAACGATACTGGGTATAATTGCTGAATAATCTGTAAATACTTTCTGCTGTAAAATAAAAATCGCGCGAATATTTCGTATTTTCCGATGAGTTATACTTCTTCGTTAAATTGGATTAAATTTCTTAAAACCGTGGTGCGCTAAATTGCTAAAATTGGACAAGTAAATATAGAAGGAGAATGAAAGACTTACAACTGGAGAGTGCACCAAAGTGCGCGAAGAGCATCCAGTACGTGGTGCTGAAGAACATCCAGCCTTGGATATCATGAAGTGCCGCTTCTGTTCTGGGAAGCCCTAGCCACAACAGTCCAGCGAGTAAGCCGAGAGCTATCGTTTGCAGCCAATTCAGACGAGACAGCATTCGTGGCCGTGCCTCTTGAAAGTTTCTTTCTGATAATACCTGAAATCATCAATCATAATCTTGCGTTACGTATATGTATATCTGACACATGTTTCATCTTGTATCTAGAGAATTATATATTTTTTGCTTGTATTCGAATGTAACAAGTTTTGAGAATATGTAAACCAGTGAATTCTATGTTACTTCGAAATGAATGTTCATAGTAATAGAAATTTTATTTAAAATCCAGTGGAACTCTATGTAATTCGTGAATGTTCATACAGTAATAGAAAAGTTGAGAATTTTTTTTTTTTTTTTAGATATAACACCTTCATAAATTACTTTATTATATTACAACTACTGTTACCTTCATTTACACTTATTTTTACACTTTAATTTACACTTATATCAACTACTTTATAAATACGGAAATTAGAATAATGCAACGCGAATAGAAATTTATCATAACTTGACAATTTCTTTCAATTTGTTTATATTTCAAGTATCGAATGAATCGATTAAAATTTCGCACGTGCGTGTGTGCGTGTGTTTATACTTTATTCTGTTTATACTTTACCAAAAATCGTAAAATAAAATTACTTTACAGTCATCCTTGCAACATCGTGCAACGCGTAAAAATAGTAAACTTGAGCATAAAATTAAACCAACAATGGCCACGACTCGATCATTACGTGAAATTTCTTTCAAATTGCGAACATGTACGAAGAAACTGACTTTTCGATAGGTTCCAAGAATATGTAATTAATCAGAGGCTGATGGAGGTACTGTCATAAAAATTGAAGGAGTTGGACGACTGAAATGCAGATACACAACTTGGTTATTAATCTACGTGCTCGGAACGATATGAACACTGCCCCCGTGCGCGACAATGTCACAATGCAAGGTTGCTCAGCTACACCTCTTTGGTGCAGCTCAATTATATCAGCGGCCGTGAGGAAATAGAACGCAAAGTTTCACAATGCTGGTTTCGAAGGTCTCTTTAAATTACAACTATAGTACGCGAGCAACTTCACCATATGACGAGCACGTTATCGTTAATTACTCAATTAACAGGCAAATCGATCGCAGCCATCGATCTAAGCAACGTACGGTACGCTTGTATACTTAGTCAGGCTGAATTTCATTTAAATTCAAATGGCTAACTTAAAATTATCTGTAATGTGATCTAGCTGTCTATTATATCTGAATTTTGTTGATTTATTGCGTTGCAAAATAAATACGGCCTTGCTTTATGCTTACTACAAGATACGCGTGTCTAAAGACAAGGCCAATTTATGCCACGACCTGATACATTTATATTTTAAACTGAATCTTTTCTCATAGTTGAGAAACACGTATAATGGAATTTTTTCACAAGTGTTTTTCATACAGTTACTATATATATATATATTATTTTCATATTGAAAAATTGTAAAACAAAATATAAACCTTTGAAAACGGTTTCAAAGTTCAATCAGCGTTTTCTAAGTAATCAAAAACATATTTGGGCATTTAGGATTTTACTGAATTTTAGTGAAATCATTTTCTGTAAGATTAATTAGGAGACAGAATCCCCTGAAAATTTTGGATTTTATTAATCGACGATCCGATAAAGATAGAACAATTAAACTTAAGTTACACGTGATATAAAATATACCAATATAATAACAAACAAAATCTTCCCATGAAATTCGGTTATTATTAAAAAAAGAAAGAAATATCTGAAATTTCTACCTCGAAATAATTTCTTATACGTTTCAAACCAAATGACATATAACGCAGCTTATATCATCTACCTAAAAACAAAATAATCTCACGAGATCGTTTCACGCTATACGTAATATCATTCCAATTGATTATTTGCCATAAAAATTAGTTCCTTAAAAGATATCAATTTTCTTAAGAAATATTTTCCTCCATTTTCCACTCTTTATCGTAAAACGTTTTCTAAATCTCAACATCGCAATCTCAACACGCAAGTGACACGGAATATAAAAAGAGGGGCGGGACTTTCTCTATCGTGAATCGAGCTGAAAACACAGCTGCGCGAAGAATAGTTGAATCGGGTAAAAGTGATGCAAGTGGCGAGATGCGTTTGCACAAAGCACGCCACAACGAACAGACATACCGGTCGTTGTAATTATCCGGATATGGCGAATCGCGTAAACGCGACCTAGTTCTCTTTTCTGCGTTGCTCGATCCTCTTTAGCGAGCCGATTCTCTTTCTTTTATCTTCTTGCTCGTCTCGCTTCCAGATCTCCGGCTTTTCCAATTCACGGCACCCACGCACTTTCTTCAGGAATCGCTCGATTTCTTCAGGGCGAACGAATTTCTTCTCCACCGTCGCTTTGATGAGAAGACGTAATTTGAAGTTCGATCCAAGCTTTTCCGATCGACGAGACGCTTGTTGGGAAATTTTATGGAAGATGAAGATTTCTTCGAGGCGAATGAATTTCTTTTCGATTATAGATTTGGTAAGAAGGTATAGTCTAGAGTTTCAGTGAGGTCAAGTGAAATAATCGATTGAATTTGTTAAGATTCTTTTTTCTATCGAGATTCGATCAGCGATTGTTGATTGTTGAATTTTTGATCGATTTTCCTAGCCAACAAATATAGTCTGGTAAATATTACTTTCGTTCTGAGAGATTCCTTGTTTATTTGTTATTAAGATAATTAATTAAAGTTAAAATTCAATTTGTTAATTATTAAGATTCTCTTCTTATTTCCTTACCATGGAAATGTGTGATTTATATTATCCTGAAACATTAGGTAAAGTTTAGATTGTACGACTAATTTAAAAGCTTGTTTAGGGTAATGTTCCTCGTGATTTTGATGCAAAACTATTTTAGTAGATGTAGACTCTTCAGGAGAATAGTTGATCACATAGATAATCTGTTGTTGCTTACAGATTTCTTCGTAATTTTATCCAAGTACAATTTTGGTGTTTCAGCGAACGAAGTGGTTCAACACAATTTAATAAAACTTTATTTGAAATAAAATAACCAGTAAGATCGATGAAAACCAGCATCATATTGACACTATTACATTATGTTTGTATCATTTATTATCTGCTACAATTCGTACACGCGTCATTATATTTCACTTTTCAATACGATCCCCCGAAGCTTTGTATCTTATCTGAAACCTGTTTCGAAACTTGTACTTCCCTTTCCGAACATATATCACGATTTACGATAAACAATTTAAAAACTATGGTATATTTTCAGCTCCTTTGATCACACACGCTTCCAATATTTTTTTTTTTTTTTTTTTTTTTTTTTTTTTTTTTTATTTTTATAAGACCCATGGTGTTGGTAAAGTATCGATCAATATTTCGAAACGCCGTGGTCATTTCCGTATGTTTCGATCTACGCTCCATTGTTTTAACCTAATGAATCGTCCCTAAACGTCCGTGACGCACCATGATATCCAAAGAAACATATTGTTCGGAAAATTGTTGGCAATCTGAAAAATGATTGGACGAGGCGTAATAGGTGAAAGATAGTGCGCCAGAAGATTAAACGGAAGAAATAGCAGGAGCACCTTGAATATTATCTGGAACGACTATGTTACAGCTATAGCCAGATAAACGTCGAGGACTCGCGATACGAATTTAACGCTCGCATTAAACTCGAATCCTGATGTCATTTCCATTTGCCTCCCTATTATCCCCTGCATACCAGGCCACTCATCTAAATTTTCATATTGCTATTGCATGCTCTATTAACCGTGCAATGCAATCGAACTTTTTGATCTCTCCTTCAGACGACGACGACGACGACGACAACGACGACGACGACGACCGCTTCTCTTTGCTTGCGTTAAGGCCAATTCGAGCCGAGCGTTGCGTTTCCGAGGAAATCAACGCTATTGCCCTACATAATTCTCAACGTTGGCGGTTCGCTTCGTGGAATGTCGTCGGATATTTTTCATTTCACCAAGAAAATTTCTCTCCCTATTCTCCTTACTATTGTTCCGATTGACACTTATCGCTACTTCATTTCAATGAACGTTCTTCGTACTAGAGACACTGGCATTGGTATTTGCTATTTTTAATCTTCCGAGAATTCTTTTGTATATTGTTTGCACTTTTCTTATTGTTGTTTATCGAGATTTATGTGCGGCGATTTATTCCAGGGATTAACACGCTTTATATGAGTAGCATTTATTGGTATCTACGATTTTTGATCTTATGACGAAAATTTCTATGTATTTTTTTTTTTTTTAATTTTCATTATTTCTTTCTTTGTAAACATTTTTGTAGCAGGCATTGGTATTTCTTAATCATTTTCTTTACTTCGCAATAAAAATGTCTGTTCCTAGTGCTTTTGTCATTCTTTAATCATTGGTTCGGATTTATTACCATTTATTGCGGATGTAAAAATTCCAAGGTGTTAGAATCGATTGGTAATTTTTCGTTTCTGTCACGCTGAGTATTCTCCTCCTTCTTCGTGTTATCCCTCTTATCCTTATTGATAATTCAGATTTATTGTAATTTATTTCACGCATAAAGATCCTTCGTATTTGTCATGCATTTATAAACAGAGATGTTCTCTGTAAGGAAATATTCATATGCGTTCGAGTTTGTACTTGGACACTGACGTTTATCGAAAATTATATTCTCCATAGTGTAATGATCAAAATCGTCGATCAGAAATCTGACAGGAGAATCGCTGTTAATAATTCAATATCAATAAACAATTCAATATTAAAAGTAAACGTCTGGTTTGGAAGGCAAGTGTTACAAAGTATTTTTAGAGTAAGAAATCTATAAAATTCTTCTCTTCATTTAAGAGTATAAGAAGCTGACCTCTTGCTGAATTTTGATAGTACGTCTGCTGCATAGATAGCACTAGAGAGTTAAGGTTACGTGGACGGAAGGGAAATATTCAAGATGGCACGCTGTAACGCAACGCGGCAAGGGAAGTGAAATCAGAAAGTTAACGAGAACCGGAGCATCATGCGGGACGATCTCATGACGATTCTGTTTTCAATTGCTAAACTGACGTCACTTCTTCTCGGGAAATAACGGAACCGAGTCCGGTTCATTTCGTTCCCTAACGATACGCCTCTTTGGCCTTCTGAACTGTATAAACTTTGCCATTCTACACATTCAGTTATTCAACCTTTATAGCTTTTCTAATTGAAAATTACCTCTGATATAACAGAATGTAATAGGAATATTTATCTGTACAAATATCTTGAACGTATCTGTCAATGTTAAAGATAAGAATTTTTAACAAAAACATTTTTTTTTCATTTGTATATACTGTACAAATTTGTTCTTCGTTGTTTTTGTACAGTACAATACATTATTTTGTGTTTAAAGGTAATCGAGAATTATCAAATTGATTTGCATATTCAATGAATTTTTGTTCAACCTCTCAGCCATTTCTTAACAATCTTTGATACATTAATATCATAAACAATTATTCTTTTCTAATTATTTCTTCTTTAATAATTTCTTTAATAGTTTCTTTTCTAATTCTAAATATTCTTAATATCCCCTACTAAAAGTAAAACTTGTAGATGTTTAACAGATCTGTGTTTTCTGATAATTGTAGAATTTGTACATCTTAAATACATCAGTGTTTTCTATTAATTGTAGCAACCGTACATCTCAAATTTGTCGATATTCTCTCCTATATAACTGTAGGATCTGAATATCTTCAACATGTTGATATCAAAGACTTAAGACTTTTTGTAAAAGAATTCTGTATCTCTATTTGCTTCTTTTATTATCTTTTAAATAAAATAAATTTTTAAATGGAATTATATTTTTCCTATTTTTGAGCCAAACAATTTGTATTTAATCTAAGATCATTAATATAATATCTCGCAAGGATGGTTACAAATTTAAGAAATTAGAATCGGTCAATCTTTGAAAAATTCCTCCTTCCTTTTTCCTCTTATATTTCATTGATTTCTCGTGACAAAGGCACCAATTTCTATATCTCTACTATCGCTACAAACTGCACACATGTTGCATGAACATCGAGTGCAGCACAGTTTGAACGCCTAACCGCTGGAAACGTGTGCAAAGTGGTACTCACTTTAAATTGCGACCAGAAACTGGTGGGCCACTGCCAGGCATAGTCGTCGTCCGCAGAACTGGCACTGCTGCTGGCATGGCTTTGTGTGTCCAACCACAGCGTACGACCTTCGTCTTCTTTCACTGTAAATCATCGACACAATGAAAGGGCTAGAGAAGGTTTGTTCATTTTTCAAACTTTGTCATTTCAAACCGTGGCACGAGAAGAGGAAAATACCAAAAAATCAAAAACAGAATACATTTTAATCTTAACGCAATACTCAAATTTTGCTATTTCAATCTTGCTCGTATCTCAACAAGTAAAAAGATTTTCAACGTTCTAAGAAAGTGTTCATTACAAAATTGGGATCATTGGAATAAGCAAATCAGTTATATAAATCAAAATAGCGAGATTCAAGTACGTACTACGCAAATTAAAGATCGAATGTATCGATAATCCTTCAAAATTCTTATAATTTCTCTTCAATTAACTAATCTTAAGATTTCTCCGATGAAAGAGCGATTCAACATTTTTAACAATTAACAAAGAAAAAATTAGACTACACTAAGATCGTAAAACTCGAATATCGTACAAATGAAAGATCGAACGTAGTTATAAAAGTTAGAGTTATACAAATTTCTACGGTTTCTCTTCGTCCTGTCAATTAAAATTTTTCTAATAAAAAAGTGGTCTAATTAAAAGACTGACACGAACTAAAATCGTGAAACTCGAATATTCACATAAATCAATTTCGATCGAATTGAGTACCCAGAGAGTTATAAAAATTTCTACAATTTCTCTTCGTATTACGATCACGATACACATAAACTACAAAATAGAGAGATCAGAAACGTCGAACAATTATTATTGGCGAGTCGAATCGATTGGTTTTCTCTCGACTCGCAGTGTTCCTTTAGGCGATCGTTCGACCTTTGATTGCTCGCGAAGGGGGAAACGAAAGAATCATCCCCTCGGCCCGACATACTTCTCCGCCGCGAAAAATCCCCGTGTTATTGCTAGACAGTCCATTTATAAACCGTTAATCAATCGACGCCGGAGGAAATATTCGGCCGAGCGAGATACCCGTATCTCGAAGAATGATTACTGACTACAATGATCCGCATTCATCGTCCAATCGAACGATTCTTACGAACGTACGTTTATTCAACGATGAATAGACCTGGAAAATAATCCTCCCGCGAGATCCAACCGCGTTTATACTCGATTGAATTTGGATAGAATTAAGATATCGTGGTAGGTCACGTGTCTGCAGATTTGTTGATAGTTACTCTGTGATTGTTTATGCAGTTTAAACTGTACAAATGTACAGAATGTATATTCTAATTATAAATCTTGTACGCAATCTATCGGCGACTTTGCCGAATTTTCTTGTTCCGTGCGAAACATATTGTTCGTATATATTGAAAGATCATTTTTTATTTTTGGTACATGTTTTAATACTAGGAGTATTTGAAGATTAGCATTCGAGGTTCTAGCAGTTTCTTAAGGGCTGTATATTTATTCCTTTATATTATAATTCTTTAAGCGAAGATTCCTCTTTGAATGGAAGAAACCTTCTAAATTTTGGGCCAAACGTTTCATAACATCTTAATATTCATCTCCTTACGAGTTTCCTTTCTTCGAAATATAAAACTACAATTTCCAGCCAAACGCAATATAAAACAAAACTATCTGAAACCAAACACAATATTCATTTCCTTACAAGTCTGCCCTCTCCGAAATATAAAACTACAATTTCCAGCCAAACGCAATATAAAATAAAACTATTTGAAACCAAACACAATATAAAACCATATATATTCATCTCCTTAGTAATTCCAAAGGAAATACAATCTATTGGACAACAGAAGGAAACGATATTCCATTCCTCTATACCCTTAAAATCGCAAACAATTAAAAATCCTCTTGAATACTTAAATCCTTATCCCGTGGCAAGCATCGGCTCGAAAAATCGATCGAATCTCGCAGACACGTTGACCCACAAACACCGGCCGGAGCCACCGGTGAACACGATCTTCGAGTTTTAAGCGGCTGAACCGGAACCGCAACTATTCTAGCTCGATATATCCGCGATAGTCCCTAGGCGTGCATACAGCCGACACCATGGACCGGTCGTGCACTATGCAATACCGTTGTGGCTGATGTGGTGTTCGTGATAATGGATCAGATGGTCGCAAAGCGGATGCTGGCTTGGATTGTACTCCGGACGAAGTTCTGGCGGGCAGTCAGGTCCCTGTCTCGTGTTCCTCGCCGCGGCCACGATGCGCTCGCGAACCTCTTCTGGCCCCTTTATTTGCTCCACTGTTAACAATCGAAAATGGAACATTGAAATTGGACATAAGCACGAAACGCTTAACTTTAATTGTTATTAGCGAGTTAAGACTGTCTTGGGTAATTGCACGACCTGATTTGCTGGTACGGTAAAGGGAATTTTCATGAGGATGACGAGATAGTGGTTGCTTTGACTGGAAGTTTAGAGCGGTTGCAGCAACCGCTGCTTTTGGACTAGATATCGAATATTTATGTCGGGTTAAACACGTTAGATATTAACAAGTTTCTTCTGGGTGATCAGAATTGCCAGGTTTGGCGTTAGTAATTGAATATTCATATTGGGTTTAGATTTCAAATATGACATTACCTCTTGGCAGAATTTTTCTCTAAGCGAATAGAGTGGCCATTGATTTTGAGTTAAATATTGAATATTTATATCGAGTTAAAGATGTTAAGATATGGTATTAAATAAGACATTAGTCTCGTCACAGAATTTTTCTTTAATTCGAAGATGAATCTGAAGGATACGGTAGATATTTTTATGAATAAATATATTCCGGAATAAATAATCCTTTGATGAATTAATTACCTTTAAATAATTACCTTTCCTTGGTCTTGATAATTCGTTCGATAAGAAGTCAAATTTATTTCAGCCGGGTTAGGGAAAAAATAATGTATAGGATTTAGGAATTGGTATAATAATAACATCAATAGTAACTTATCGGCTTTCGCCTATCGCGATCTTCTTTCAACGTGTACGGTGATTTTTCTTATTTTCTGCTTCTATATTCCAATCATGTTTACAAGTCTATTCATTTAAACAGAAGGCTCTTATTCTTAGTTTGCTTAGGAATTAATATTCAGTTCTGTTACGTGATTTTGTTAATTCCATAATATTCAGTTTTAATATTTCTAAGCCTAAGTTTATGAAATTATTCTTTCGTCTCTCTGGTTTGTATAATGAACTTCTACGAAGTATTTATTACTCTAATATACTGTTGTATTTTATCAAAGCAACGTATAAGTTACTTTTTACTTCCTTGTATTTTATCAGAACGATATTTACCTCACTTTAATAATGCACGATAATTTTATACGTATTTACACGATCATAACATGTTATTTCATCGTTTGTTCTTTTATTAACAAGAAGTACTCACGTATAAAATCGGCAGGGTTATAGTGTGGCAGTAGCGTGAGTCCAATCGTAGAGAAGAACCTGCCAATATTCGTTGTAGGGCCATAATATGCCACCTGGCCATGACTCAACAGCAGGATCTTGCTGAAACTGTGGAACATCCTGGAACTGGGCTGATGCACTGTTACCACGATGCTCTTGCCTTCTTGTTCAGCGTATTTCTTCAATCGTGAAATCAGTCCTTGTGCCGAATGCGAGTCCAGTCCGCTCGTTGGTTCCTGGATAATCGTATTATTAATTATTTTACTTTCTACTTGCGTTGTGCAATGGTATAGGGGTCAAGGATCTTCAGAATCGTTATTCTTTTTATTTTTATCCTTTCTAGTTGTTCCTTTAGAATTTTGACTACTTTTGTCGTCGAAATTAAATTCTAATTACTGGCAGAAGTAATCGAGGAATATATAATATAGCAGTTTTTAATTGTGAGATATTTTGACATTTTCTAGATAATTTCTGGCTTTGAAGTTTATTTAAGAATCCTAAGAAACATGCGATCTTTGAATATTTTAGGAATATGGAATTTTGTAAAATAACTTGCTCGAGATAATCTATTTTCAATAATTTCAAAAATATGCCACACTGTAACGATAGAATATTTCAAAACTAGTCAAGCACACTCCAATGATAATAAAGCTTCTAAGGCAGAGAAAAATACGAAATCTTGTGGAATACTGATGACAAGGGAAATTCTACAGGAAATTACCACCACTAAAGTATTTTTAAAGAAGATTGTTACTAATAAATCGTTTCAACGGAAATGAACAAAAAGTAAAGAGTTCTAAAGAAGCTACATAGAAAATCCTCATTCCTTTCTATTATCAGCAACATTAAGAAGCTTACGTCGAGCAACATGAGCGAGGGATTGGTGAGAAGTTCGCAGGCTATGCTCGTCCTCTTCTTCTCGCCGCCGGACAGTCCTCGTTTCGTATAATCCCCGATAACTAAAGAACAGAAAGCGAAAAATAAAAATGAAGAACGCAGTTACACGGCTGTCTATATAACAGGGCGAACCTTTTGGCTCGCCATTATCTCGCGTTGGTAATTAATTAACACTAATTGGCGGATGTATCCTCGATGTTCCGGCGACTAAGCTGGATACCTTAATTCACGCGGAAAGACACGATGATGATGGGCGCCGTGGTTAAAAATACGCCGCTCAAAATACGTAATTGGGATGCAAGACGCGCGATACATATTCCGCGAACTTAATCTCCTCTGCACACGGTGTCTTCGAACTTTGTTGAATTTTTTTTACAAGCCAAACTGATCAACTTTGCTGTTTGGTAATTTGTCAAGTTTCGTTACATAAACGTAAGTGATTAATTCTTAAAAAAATAATTTACTTTTGTATGCTGGTTTACAGCGAAAAGATGACACGAATGATAGCCAATTTCAAGGTAACTGTAAAACGTAATGTGTGTAACATCGCTACTTCCCTACACATTTCAATTTGCGGAGTCGGTCAACCCGACTGCTGAATGGTTCATGTAGTAGAGGCATATTAGACCGGAGAAGGTAAGATGTATGAATAGTAGAGTGAATGTTGGTAGAACCGGAGGGAAATTGAATGGAAGAGAGGTGAGGTTGGTTTCTGTATTTTGAAATGTTCATTGTGACGTAGGTAACGCAAAACTGAGCGATTTGCTTCTAAAGAGGAAAATAAAGTTCGTAGTGATTCTTCGAATTAAAATTGTTAAGTACTCCAAGGAGCTTTTTTAGTAAAATATCCACGCTTGTGTGTAGTGCTGGAAATTCATTTTGCTTTGTAAATAATTGCTCCTTGCTTTCAACTGGTCTTTACATTTTTATGAAAAGTAGTTGTTAAATCAATTTATTGAAATAATTCCAATAGCTTTTTTCGCAAATAACAGAAATGTGTTCGAAAAGGTTTTACGTATTTCCATTTACAGGTCAAAATGTACAATAAAATCTATAATGCATAATAATACGATATATATATAATATTTAAAAATAATATAATATAAATTTATATAAAAGTTTGACGTATTTTCATTTACAAGTGGTACAGTTAAAATGTACGATAAAATCTATAATATATAATAATACGATATATATATATATATATATATATAATACAATAACAAAATATACAATGACCATGGCTGTGATTAACAATAAAAGGAACGAAATTCATTGCTATGGAAACAGTGGAAAAACGTCACTGTGTTCAATTTACTTATACAATTTCCTAATTACTTCATTTCCTTTCATAACTCTCAAACTCGTCCCGGGTTAACAATTAAAATCGATCAACAATCAAATCCAATTTCGTTCGCTGCAACGCTTCCGCTACTATTACTGTATTCATTTTTCTCGTCGCGAAAATTATCGAAACTCGATATGAAGGTAAATTTCGGATCAACGACCAAAAAAGGAAACGAATGAAAATTCTCGTTCCATCGGTCCTTCCTCGATTGAAATATAAAATCGTTTCGTCTGGTCCTGAAAACGATTCCAAATTGGATTACGAACGCGACAAACCTGTAGCGTTGCTGCAAAAGCAGAAATAAAAAAAAAAAAAATTCAATTCGAATTTATTCCCTATCCAATTAAATGAAAAAAATTGTTAGGTTGCTCATCAATGATGAAACACATCGGTCAAACGGATATCCCCATCGTAACGAAATAAAGTGAAAAAATCAAACAAAAAATTAACAGAGAAAAATGGTTTTTTACTGGCTGCTGCCCAATAAAAACTTTATTCAAGTTTTCTGATCACTTTTTATTACCTTTCACTTTTTCGTTGATTCAGAAAATAATTTAGAATGAAACAAATATGACGCTTGATGTATTTCTTTTGCGTTTTTTTTTTTTTTTTTTTTTTTTTTAAACAACAGGAATTAACCCACGTTCGATTCTTTTCGTTTCAAGTTTCACTCTTCTTTTCTCGTTTAACGTTCAACGTCGATTATTTCTATCTTTAATTTCCTAAACTGCATTTTTAACTCTGTTTTTAGCTTTTTATCGACGAACAGTGTTGATCTATTTTCTGCGAGAAAAATTGTCGATAAGACGAACAAAGAAATTTCAGAGAATTTTACAAAATAGCATTAGGAATATTAATTGGTATTTCTGTACCAAGAAGATTTCGTTCGAAAGAAAAAAGAAAATATCGATGTCTATCGAAGCATTAATTAATCAAGAAGTTAATCTTCCACGAGATTTCATAATCGAAGAACCAGATGCCAAACGATTTCATAATTTGCGAAACGTTAACGGCTACTTTATTACGTAATAACTTCTTCATATAAATAAATATGTCTTTCTCGATCTCGTACGAATATACGTTCACAATGCTATTAAATTCAACCGGAGTCAAATCAGGTCAAACGTAGTTTGAAGGAAGCAACTTTCATCGAAACGTGGCTTTAAGTTAATCTTGGTTGGACTTCAAAGCGTTTCGAGGAATCGGGATAAACGATCGATGCTGGCAGAAACGATCGTGATTCAGCGAGCTGTAACGCGTCGCGATAACAAACGATTTCGCGTGTCTTTACGAGAAGGGATGAATGAATTACGATCGCGGAAATCGTCGATCAAAATCATAGGACCGAACGACGATGAGGAGGACGATGGCGAGCAACGATGGCGACCAGCGATGGCAACGCGACCAACTACGTTGCTGATGGCCCGTTTCTTACCTCTGGAAGTCATAAATCGCCACCGACTCCTCGTTCTGCGTCCATAAACAAATTATGGCGAATTTACACGGCTGCGACGCGAGAGATCGTCCCAGTTTCGCGAGCCCGCGCAGACGCTTTGATCTCCGTGGAAACAAATGCGAGAAATCGTGTGAAATTGGTGCTTTTTCGCAATGTGATTTACAAAGTATTCGAATACTCGTATATGAAAACTTTTACGTATATGCGGTACGTGTTGTCTGAAAAAACCTATTGAAATTGTATTATGACTATAACGTGACACGTTACGACTGTTATGATCTGGAAATGTATAAAGAAATCAGGAAATGAAAAGAAAGGTATAAAGAAATGTATATGACGTTACGATCTGGAAATGTATAAGGAAAATGTAAGATATTCACTGCAAAGATATGTTTGATTACAAATTAGCACGTGTGTAGAAGGAATATAACATATAATATTCGATTTTATATCAATTTTAAGCGATTCGATCAAGATAAAATTGAACAGTAACATTGTATCTGAAGATAGAATTTGAAAGCATGTTAGTTCATAGTAGAGTGATTATGTAAAAGAAAATGTAAGGTGAGTGAATATTTTTATATTAACATTAATTATTGCGTAAACTATAGCAATCATGATTCTTGTAATCGATCGGTATAATTGATGGTAAAATTTTGATTTATGTTGGTAGCGTTTGGTTGGGGTTGAAGTACGGTCGACGTTGCAACGAATTGATTTACGTAATTGGATATGTTATAACATTGTATAATTAAACATGTTGCGTGTGTGGTTACGGTATTTTTTACTTTGTCCTTGTTACGTAAATGTTGGCGCTTGATAAAAATTCGGGAGGGTAAAAATTGTTGCGAAATGTTTAATTGCATAAGGATACGATTGCAGCAAATAACTATTCTGTTTTTATCTTTCACAGCATGTAGATAGGTACGCGCAAATTATAATTCAGTTAAATATACAGTCATTTTCTCTGGAGTGGGGAATTTCAAATTTAATTAAAAAATAGTAGCAGCGGTAACGGTGTTATTTTCATTCGATATTAAAGACATTAACAATGCATCAAAGGAAAATATACCGTGGTTGCCACGTAATCTGACCTCATTGTTACAACATTGTAATAACAAATAAAATTCCCCTTTCGACCCACATATAAAATCCATGTTTTCCTTTATATCTTTTTACGTATTTTCTTTCAAAATATTTCGTTTTTGTTTATAATTATAAAATCGTGAAACATAAAAAGTTAAAATAAAACGTGTATCACAAAAATTGGATCAAACAATGAAATTAAAAAGGAAATTAACGAAATATCAGGAGTTGATTGACTTCAATTTTCATTTTCCTTTATCATGAAAGTTGTAAAGTATATAATATGTTTTCTTAATCTGAATTACTTGAACCTGAATTTAGTCAGCAAATTTGAGAACATTTTTCTGATATTCTTAGCATTAATCGAGTACAATGTAACTTTAAGATCTCATAGTTTGTTAACCTTAAAATTATTATCAAATACAAAAGCTAGATATAAATGTATCGCGCACTTACAAGTGCACTTATAACGATCACATTCAAACGATCGAATAAAAAGTCAAAGAAGGAAACCGGGAAATTCAACAAAATCCTAAATCTATAAAATTACGAATTTTAACCGTTCTGATAGTTTTGCCATTAATCAAGTGAAATAGTATGCTTTCCTAACCTCAAAATAATGGTAGAACTCGAAAATCCGACATCAAAATATCGTTTGTAAATTTGTTTATAATAATCATTATACAAAAAAATAAATAAACAAGAAGTAAAATTAAGAAATTCGACAAAATTCTAAATCCATAATTCATCCTACGAAAAATTACCGATTACCTACTCCTTTTAACGATTCCTAACCTCAAAACGACAATCAAACACGAAAATTCGACATCAAAATATCGTTTGTAAATTTGTTTATAATAATCATTATACAAAAAAATAAATAAACAAGAAGTAAAATTAAGAAATTCGACAAAATTCTAAAT